TTCTTTTCTTTTTTTTTGCACATTCCTCCTATGGCAATTTTAGAGATAAAAGATGTAACTGCAGTATAGACCATTCTGAAGGTTAATATGAGTAGCTGATTGAGTTAAAGATGATACGTTTATTAAGTATTTTGTAAGCACCATGCGTTTACATACATCATTTTATTTAATCTGAAGAGACTGAGGCAGATTAAAGGAGCATTAACTAGATGAGGCCATTAGTCTATAAAGTGGGAATGTAATGAGATCATGCAAACTGTATTTATCAGAACTCCTCTCAAGAAGGAGTGGGTATTAAATGTTGGTGGAAATAACATTTTCATAGGCCACTTAGGTTGGTTGGTAAGATCAAGGGATATGCTCCAACAACAGATAGTCATCAATTTGCCTTTGAAGGAGAGAAAATTCCTTCCCTGAGTAAAGTATATAATTTAGGCTACAGCCAAAGTTGAGGTATTTATCACCATCCCCCCCCACCCCATCCCCACACCACACCTTCGCTACAGTTGTGGCAGTAGCTGCATTTCTTGTTTCCCTACAACCACAGTTGCTGTTGGGAAGTCCATCTTAACTTTTACTAAATCCAGTTGATGTATTTTAAGTAAACATTATGCCTAATGTGAGGCTTGAACTCACAACCCTGAGAATTAAAGAGTCTCATGCTCTACCAACTGAGCCAGCCAGGCATGCCAGTCCCTTCATTAAATTTTTAATTAACCCCCCTGAATACACCATGAGTTTCCTGTCCAGATTTTAACTAATAAAAGGAGTCCTCCTTTCTTGCTTTCTAACATATGGTGTTCAGCCTCTCTAAATAAATGTAGTTTTAAAAAATTTAAGATGATCAATCTGAAGGGATGTCAAATCATAAGGCTATTTGGGGTAACTGTATGTCTCAATCCAGAGAAGTAAGGGATCATGAATTCTAGAGTTTACTTAAACACATCACATTTTTATTGAGCATTTTCTATAGGCAAAGCACATGCTTAGTTTCAGGGGATTCAGGGGTAAGTAAGATAGTTGTGTCCTCAAGGAGCTTTCAGCTTAATAAAGAATAAAATAATAATACACAGTAACAAAGCTATCAAAAATATACTTTTAAAGGGTCAAATTATGTTGGGAATTATAGGTCAATTATTTTTGACAAAGGTGCCAAGACAATTCAACACAGAACAGATCATCTTTTCAACAGACAAAGCTAGGACAATTTGATATCCATATGCAAAAAAGAATAAACCTCCACATTTACCTCATGCTATATACAAAAATTAAACTTGAAATTAAACTCTTAAATGTAAGAGTTAAAACTATATAAAACTTCTAGATGAAAACAAAAAAATCTTAGTGTCCTTGGTTTTGGCAAATATTCCTTAAATACAACATAAAAAGCACAAAAATCTTACAACTCAATGGTAATAAGACAAATAACCCAATTTAAAAATGGGCACAAGAATTGAAAAGATACCTCACCAAAAAAGATACATGGATGACAAGTACGCACATGAAAAGATGTTCAAAATTAGTCATTAAGGAAATGCAAATTGAAAACACAATGATATACCACTATACTCCTGCTAGAGTGGTTACAATTGAAACAACAACACACACTGTGTGTTGACACTGTGAGTTGAGCAACTAGAACTCTTATATACTACTGAAAGATATGCAAAATGGCAAAACCACTTAAAGAAACAATTGGAAAGTTTCTTTAAAAGTTAAGCATAAAAAAAATAAATAAATAAAAGTTAAGCATACACCTACCGACCATTCTATTGCTGGGTACTTATCCATATTCAATTGTATTACTACATAACAATATTACCACAAACATAGCAGTATAAAACAATATACATTGATTACCTCAGTTTCTATGATTCAGGAGTCAGGGTATGGCTTAGCTGGATCCTCTGTTTTAGGGTCTCACAAAGTCTTATCTGAGGTTCAACTGGGGAAGGATTCATTCCTAAGATCACCTGACTGTTAGCAGTATTCAGTTCTTTGTGGGTTGTCAGAGTGAAGGCCGGTTTCTTGCTGGCTATTGGCCAGATGTGACCCTCAGCTCATTGCCACATGATCCTTCATAACATGGCCACTTGCTTTCTCAAAGCAGCAAGGGAGATAGTGTCTCTCCCAGTAAAATGTAGTATAAATGTAATATAATCTTGTGCAAGGTAATTACGTTCACATAATCACATATATCACCTTTGCTGTATCTTATTGGTTGGAAGCAAGTCACATCTATTTGTTAATTACATCTCACTAAAGCTGAAACAAACAAAAAAAGAAGCAAGTCACAGATCCCACCCACATTCAAGGGGGAAAGGATTATCCAAGAGCATGGTTAATAAGGAGACCACCTCTGTCCACCACATTACTCAAGAGAAATGAAACATACGTCCACACAAAAACTTGTACACATGTTCCTAGCTGCTCTGTTTGTATTAGACAAATACTGAAAAAACTCAAATATCCATCAACAGGTGAATAGATATCTTGTGAGATATCCATACAATGGGAACACTCAGCGATAAAAAGAAACAATCAATTGAAACAACATTGATAAATCTCAAAGTAGTTATACTGAGTGAAAGAAGCCAGGCAAAAGAGAGGACATACTGTATGATTCATTTATATAAAATTCCAGAAAACAAAAAATAATCTATATGACAAAAAGTAGATCAGTGGTTACCTGGGAAAAGTGAAGGGGGCTGAAAAAGAAGGATTACCAAGAGGTAATGAGGAAGCTTCTGTAGTGATAAATATGTTCATTACCTTGGTTGTGGTAATGGTTTCACAGGTGTATACCTATATCAAAATTCATCAAATTGTACACTTTAAGTATGTGCAGCTTAATTTACCTCAATAAAGCTGATAAATTATACTTCAATAAAGTTTTCTACATATTTTTTTAAAACATAGGATCCACTTTCTACAAGGGTACCACATCACATCAATGCTCCCTGTTAGAATAAAAAAAAATATTATTATTTACCATTGAATAAAACTGATGTCAAGAAAAAGAGAATATCATAATTGCACAAAGTATTCAGGATAGGTCATGTGAGTAAGGTGACATTTAAATGGATTTTTAAGGACAGAAAAGATTCTGACGCATAGTGATAGCTATAAGGGCATTCCTTGCACAGAAAAATTAACATGTTTATTCATTCAACAAACACATATTAGCACTTGTGTACCCAAGCAGTGTGCTAAACACTGTAAAGATCTCTTTGCCTGTCTTAGCAAATTTCCAGACTGGGTTGATTAAATTTGGGAATGATTAAGAATATTATGCTTAACATTCAGCTGCAGTTTTTCTAGGGCTCCTAGTCACTAACTTACTTGAATTCTTTCCCCTTTGTAGGAGTAAAGAATTACACTAAAAAGCAGAAAATTATATCAATAAATTCAATATAAATCAACATGCAGGTTTATTCATGTGATCACTATCCACATGGTTAATAGATAATTGCAAAATTGCTATACTGATTAGAATGCAAAACTATGCAGTTCTGGTTACTTTGAGCAAATAAACCTCTTAACCACCTTGGAATTCTATTTTGTCTTTTGAAGAACTATGGATTTCAGGCAGAGTAACCATGTGATTTATTGTCCAAACTTCTGAGAGTAATTAATGCTGATAATTATTATTCTGGGACAACGGTACTAAATCAGGGCTGTGCCAGGCAAATTGGGATGTATAGTCACCCCAGTTATAGGGAGATTTTGGTTTGTTTTAAGGTTTGCAAGTATAGATTCCTGAGCTCTACCCCAGACCTATTAAGTCAGAATCTCTGGTGTGGGATTTGGGAAGTTTATAATCTAATGAACTGCCATGCTTGGAAAGCCTTGGACCCTAAAATGATATCATTAAAGGTTCTTCCAATTCTAAAACCCTATGCCTTATAGGGGAATTTTAAATATGAGCTTCATATTAGAGGATATTAGGGAATTTTTAATCTTCTTGATGTAATAATGATCTGAAAACATAAGAAAATGTCCTTGTTCTTAAGAAATATACATAGCTGCATCTAAGAGTGATGCATCACAGTGTCTGCATTTTACTTTCAGTTGATTCAGGGAATACACACACAAACACGAAGCTGATAGTGGGTATACACATATTCACTGGACTATTTTAATTTTTCTGTATGTTTGAAATTCTTATGATAAAAAGTTGGCAGGAAAAGACTATTAGGAAAAAGCCTTGTTTATAGGTAGACAGTGTTGTTGTTATAAATATAACTTTTAAGAACTATGACCAAAAAGATTGGTCTTTTTAAGTAAGGTCTTTAGTAAGCAATTCAATTGATTACTAAAAAGTCCAGCCTGTAATTCCTCCTCTCGGGTTTTTTTCCTAAGAAAAAATAAAGTGGCAAAGATACTCGCTGCAAAATTGTTTAAAACAGTACTGTCTTTGCAATATTCTAAATGTATAATATTAATGGCATGCTTAGGTAAATCATGGTGCATTGGTACATTCAATGGAGGGATTATTATGCAACCATTAAAATAATCATTGTCAAGAACATATTGCATATATTGTCCTATGCTGTTACATAAGTAGGTGCAAAAATAATCCGAAATTGTATCTGTGCTATAACTATATAAAATTTGATTCAAGTGGACAGAACTAGAAGTGTATATGGAAATGCTGTTTAAAACGCAGTTCCCCTGTATTTCATTTTCATTTTGAATTCTGCTAATGATTTTGTGCAACAATAATGCATATTTTAAAAACCAGTCGTTACCTGTTATCTTAATTTTGCTTAAGGGCAGTAAAGGTCAGTTTATAATTGGTTGAAAAACAGTAAGATTTTAGGCGCCTCAATTGATTGATGCTTAACTGGTTTGGAATAGCCACAGCATCGTTTTGCCGACTACAAATATAACAAACATTATGTGTAAACCGTGCTGCTTAAAAGGTCTCCAAACATCACAGGAACACCCACCACAATGTGTGGGCAAAATGCACATAATCAAGGCAGAAATACTACTACCTGTCAAATAGGACGGGCATGTCAGCCTTTTCTCCGCGAAAGGCTTCTGACTCTTACTTTCACCAGAATGAAATGGTTCCAGAGTCCCAGGCAAGGGAAGAGACTGTTCCCTTGCCCAGGAGGCTGGAAACTGCTCAGTGTGAGCGCAAGGTTTCCAAGGCCCTTCAGCAGAGATCCTCAGCACTAGACGATTCCCCAGTTGCTAGGTTTAGTTGCTAAGGCACCAACCGTCTCGCAGGAAGAGGGGGCAGTGCACTCCCTTTTGGCGTCGTAGCGAATCCTCTCGATACCGAGCTCATTGGTTCCGGTAGGAAACATTCAGCTCCTCTAAGAGCGACGGGAAGGCGAGGAGAAGCTGGGAGTGACGCCTCTGAGCCGTGGAGGATTGTGGGAGAAGGTTGTCTCCAATTTCTCCTCCCTCTCCCCCCCTCCCGGCCAAGATGTCTGACATGGAGGATGATTTCATGTGCGATGATGAGGAGGACTACGACCTGGTGAGACGGAGGGGACGGAACTCTGGGGTTAAGGGTGGTGTCTGGCTTTAGGGGCTGGGGTAGGGGCGACCGCGGTCTCTCCCCGTAGAACATGTGCTTCTTCCAGTCTCTCCCGGTGCAGTGACAGGACGGGTTTACCTCCTCCCCCTTCGCGCACCGGGCCGGGGCCCTGCTTCTCCAGCATGGGGGAGGGGAGGGTAAAGGAGGCAGCGAAGGGGGTCCCGAGCTTTGCTCCAAGTCTGAGCGCCTCCTCCGTTTACATAGACACCCCTGGCCTCCGGCGTCCGGTTTTCGGTGCCTCCTACCTCCTCCCCACCGCGCGAGCCGCCTCGGGGATCGTGCAGCGGTCTAGGCCCTGACTCTGCCCTTTCGGGCCCAGTTTTCCGGGCCCCTCTTCACCCTGGAACTGAGCGAGTGCGAAATGCTGAGAGAAGAGTCTGAAAACTGGGGGGCCTTACCGCTCCCAGGCCTCACCGCGAAACGCCGCTTGTGGGTCTCCTGGAAACAGAGCTTAATACTAATAAGTCTTGTCCAGGGTCCGTTTTAGTTTAAGGTAAAGGTGCAGCAGAGCATTCAGGGCAAGGATAGCTGTTAAAAAAAAAAAAAAGTAGTAAAACTACTTGTTTCGAGAAAAGCTGGGGAGGAGGTTTTGCTTTTTTGTTTGTTTTGGTGTGGGGGGGTGGGGATAAGGGGATTGACCCAGTGGGTTTCTTTTTTGACTTAGAGATTTCCCAGTATTCAAAGTTAAAAATATCAACAGTATAGGGGCGCCTGGGTGGCTCCGTTGGTTAAGCGACTGCCTTCGGCTCAGGTCATGATCCTGGAGTCCCGGGATCGAGTCCCACATCGGGCTCCCTGCTCAGCAGGGAGTCTGCTTCTCCCTCTGACCCTCCCCCCTCTCATGCTCTCTCTCTCTCATTCTCTCTCTCCCAAATAAAATCTTTAAAAAAAAAAATCAACAATATAAAAATGAACGAATTTATGTAGCTGAACGGTAATATATAAAGATTCAAGGTTTAACTTAAACGGATTTACAGGTTTTCAAAAAAATTCACTACTATTTCAGGTTGCTATTCAGAAACAATAACTGTGCGTACTAAGAAAAATTACCCGGGCCAGGAATTAGCATCAACTTTGCTTTTTATTTTGGGGGCGTTTTTGTGTATGTTTCTTGTATATTATAGTGGTGCTGCATTATCGTCAAGTTATGAAGTAGATGCTTAGGGATATCTGGCTCATCTTATATTTTAAGTGCTAGATACTCCCGAGATATTAATATATTGTCTTGAATTCGTGTAAAACTTCTTTGTATAGTCATTTACAATTAATCTTTCTATCTTAAATGAAGGCACATTTGCAAAAGGTAGAGGGAAATGCTTGCTCTTACCTGAAAATCATAGTAGAGGTTTTGATAATTCTTAAAGTTGAATGTAGAGTTCTGCTAATAGTAATGATTTCTGCTTTACGTTTAGTTTGTGCAGATCAAACCAGTTGTAGGCAGTTCATTAAGAATGTATTACTTGCAATATCATGTGCATTTTTATTTATTGCATGTTTATTTATATTAACAGGTATTTTCGTAACTGTGGAAGTGTCTCTTTTAAAAATTACATATTTTTGATTTTTGTTTTTAAATGTTTTTGCTTATCTTTCCTAAGAAGTAATTTATTGAGTACATGACTTATTAGCACTGTGATACACTTGAAGATCATCACTGAGAATATAATGTAAGAATAGCAGTGAGAATTTTGTTGTCCCATAAAATACTCAATTTTTACAAGAACTTTAATTAAACATGCATTGTTTAACTTGACTAGGTTTTTCCAGCCTTCTAGAGCCTACGCTACATGTATGATATAAATACAATAAAGTTGAATATATGGTCGTTTTGACTTTTTTTTCTTAACCAAAAAAGGTAAGATTTTACACTACCACATAATTAAATGAAATCTTCCCCCCAGCATTCTGTTAAAAAGTCCCCCCTACCCCCCCATAGCTGTCCTATGTAGTCACCATTCCGATTCCCAATCAGATATCAAGTAAAAAAAAACCTTATTTACTATGAAGTAAATAAAATCTTAAAAGGATTAAGAAGGCTGGTTGCTTACATGTTGTCAAAAGAGAAGTTGGGTTTTTTTTATAGTTATTTGCCTGGGACTTGTTTCTTGGGATTTAAAGAGTCAAAAGAATTGACTTGCTGTTCTAGGGAAATTTTTTTTATTAAAAAAACGTATTGTTTTCTGGAAAATTTGCAATTCCGTTTTAGTCAAAATATTAACTAAAGCCGTGAGTATTTCTGACCACAGATATATTCAGTATATCTTTTGTAGGTTGTCTGTTGATAAATTTTAATACCCTAAATCACTTTTTGTACTTCCCCAATCTAGTGGAAGTAGGTAGTTAGGATACCACCAGGAAAAGTAAAAATCTGTTTCTAAAACTATAGGGTTTTTATATAAGAAGATAATTAATGGTTTGTGCCCAAGATCTAGAAGAAAAGAGACCCAGCTTGGTTTAAAAAAGAAGAAACAAATGTGAAAGAAATTTAATTTGCTTGAGCTCTTATTTCTAAGACCTATTTTATTTTTTTATTAGAAGCAGAAACAGGCGTTTTCTTTTCTTAATTTTTTTTTTAAGTAGGCTCCATGCCATGGAGCCTCACGTGGGGCTTGAACTCACAACTCTGAGACCCAGACCTGAGCTGAGATGAAGAGTCAGCTGCCCAGCTGACTGAGCCACCCAGGTGCCCCAGAAGCAGGCATTTTGTAGGTATAGGAGTTTATGTAGCAGTAAATGGAGAGGTAGGAGATGGTACTGGTAAATGTCTTGATTATTTGCTGGTCTAATAATACTAAGTAATAACTATACTACCATTTATTAAGTTAATAAGGCTATTGTTATGTTAACTGTAGTGTAGTTCCACAGTCCAGCCATTCTAGCATGAAGTTGCTTAGTACTTCTTTTTTTTTTTTTTTAAAGATTTTATTTATTTATTTGACAGAGAATGCGAGATAGAGAGCACGAGAAGAGGGTCAGAGGGAGAAGCAGACTCCCTGCCGAGCAGGGAGCCCGATGCGGGACTCAATCCCGGGACTCCAGGATCATGACCTGAGCCGAAGGCAGTCGCTTAACCAACTGAGCCACCCAGGCGCCCGCTTAGTACTTCTAATAATCTTTTTAGAAAGGACTTAAGATAGACTCACTTAATTCCAAAAATTATTTAGTAGATCCTGTGATAGGTAGGGCATTGTATATTTGAATTATGAATTCTGCATGTATTCTTCACGAAGATGAAATTTGATTCTACAGCTGAGGCTTTTAAAAGAAACTTAGGGGCGCCTGGGTGGCTCAGTCGTTAAGCGTCTGCCTTTGGCTCAGGTCATGATCCCGGGGTCTGGGGATCGAGCCCCGCATTGGGCTCCCTGCTTTGCCAGGGGCCTGCTTCTCCCTCTCCCACTCTCTCTGCTTGTGTTCCCTCTCTCTCTGTGTCTCTCTCTGTCAAATAAATAAATAAAATCTTAAAAAAAAAAAATTATAGCCAACAAAGTGATTTCCCATTATTAAAAAAAAAAGAAAAGAAACTTCCATGTTTAATCATAAATAATTGGAAACAACTCCAAATTATCCATAGTAGGAGAATACTAATACTATGAGTACTAATAAGGTAATGACAGATAAATTATGGTATATTCATGTGATGGAATGCTGTGTCAGCAATTCAAACCATGCTCTCAACAATATTCAGTGACATGAAAAACTTGATAAATTGTATTGGCCAGGACTCTTGGGCATAAGACAGGAATATTGTCAAACTAGCTTAAGCTAAGAAGAGCATGTGTTGGCACACATCACCAGGAAGTATCAGTATGGCTGGATTCATGGTTCAGATAATGGTGGTGGGTATTTTTCTTGTTTCTCTCTCTCTTCCTGGTTTGCTTTCCTCACTGTATTGGCATAATTGCCTTCACAGTACATCACAAGATGTAATGCAGCATCTTCCTGGTATTATAACCCAGAGGCAAAAGGGTGTTCCTTGCTAGCTCTAACAGCAAAGCCCTAGGAAGGACTTTTATTGACCCAGCTAAGGTTTGTGTAGCCTTCTGTGAACAGCTGTAGAGAGGGAGATCGATTGCTTGCCTTCCTCTGTGGGTAGGGCACTATAATTGAAAACCCTCACATGGGAGAAGGGTTGATCACCAATGCTATGCACACAGTGAACACATATACATTATAAATATGTAATCTATTACAATTTTAGTGGGTGGGAATAAAATTTATTTTGTTAAGTGGGAAAATAGAGAAAAAAATGTCTGGAAGATCTGAAATGTGTCAGGAAAACTAAAATTTATTTCTTGCAGACCTTTCACAGTGAACCTGTATTAGTTTTATTGCTGAGGTGAGAAGGGGCAGGTTCTAGGGTACAAATGATGAACAAAAATCTTACTTTGGTCATGAGAGGCCAAAAAGTTTGTCATGGCTCAAAATTTTTTAGAGAGGTGAGAAGGGGCAGGTTCTAGGGTACAAATGATGAACAAAAATCTTACTTTGGTCATGAGAGGCCAAAGTTTGTCATGGCTCAAAATTTTTTAGAGTTCTTCTTACAAATGGTCTTCAAAGAACCTGAAGCATGTAGCTTTTTAAAATAAGTGATACAGGGCACCTGGGTGGCTCAGATGGCTAAGCGTCTGCCTTTGGCTCAGGTCATGATCCCAGGGTCCTGGGATCTAGTCCCGCG